TCAAAACCACACAAATCACAAATGCTTCATTTAATTGAGACGGTGTGACTGGGAAGTCCATTGGAGGAGTACAGTAAACTTATTTTTACATTTAATGTAATAGAGTTGCTTTGGATTTTGTGCAACAATGCATTATTCACCTCATATTCACTATCAAAGATGGATAGACTTCGGCCATACAGGCAAACCACATGTTCAATATTGCTCTTTTCTCACGATAGGGCCTAAAACCTGTCAAGATATTCTCACATACAAAGACAACACCCTCTCCAGGCTGCTTCATTTTTTTAATATCAGGTAGGATAGATCCACACTATTGTCTTGTTTATGGAAAATTCTGATCCTCCATTCTAAATGTTGCAGCCGATATTGTGATTAATTTAACAGGGTTTACTTTGTTTTTTTATAAAATCTAAAAATGTCCACATCTAGTTATAATATGTTTGAAAGTTAGGCTTATATGACGAGATGGACACGTTAATAAGTCTTCTGCTGTCTTGCCCATGCAGTTAAACTGATGCACTCAGACTCATATTCTATTTCTGTTGTAATTAGTAGGAATTCAAGCTACTGTATTCTTATTCTTATCTCACCTTTGGCCTAAAGAACCGATTTTTCTCCAAAAGAACTGGATATTTTCTTTCTTCAGTCCATTTTGTGATAATGTGTCTAAATATTTTTTTTTTCTTTGTATAATCACCTTCAAATCAGACATGGTGAAATTTAAAATAGTGGTTCCACCTAAAAAATATTCATCAACGTCTTTCTGTCATACAAATGCAAACAATTGTATTTATAATTTATAGTCTGGGAGCTGTACTTGCTTTAATTCAAATATGTAATTTCAGGTGGAATTAGCTCCTAAAACCCTCTGGGACTAAGGGGTTAATCAGCAATTAAAGATATAAGACTAGCTGCTCCTGATCCTGAACCATGGAACATTTAAAATCACATACATTCCCATTTGACCTATTTTGATTTTCCATTTTATTTGCCATCTAAATGCCTACGTTTTTGTGTGTTTTATACTGTTTGAGACAATTATAACCATCAATCCAAACTAAGGAGAATTTGGAGAAGCCAATTAACCTACAAGTCTTGTTTTTGGACTGTGGGAGGAAGCCGGAGTACCCAGAGAGAACCCACGCATGCACAGGGAGAACATGCAAACTCCATGCACAAAGACCCGGGGCCGAGAATCAAACCGGGAACCTTTTTTGCTGCAAGGCAACAGTGCTACCCATTGCTCCACCGAGCAGCCAAAATAATAACCGATATTAAGAAACATATCCAAACTAGATAAAAAAAAAGAAAATAAAAATGACAAATTGAAAGTTGGAAGCTGCTTTCCAAAAGTTTATTGTAGCAGCTTTAAGTTCTGGAAAGTTTAAATGAGATTTCAATTTCTCTGCTTGTCTTTAAAGGTGGCATGCTGTCTAAACTCAAGGGACGTGTGCTGTTTGATTAATGTGATTATAAGCTGGGAGAGCTGCTAGCTTGGAATATTAAACATTTTCTTTCACTACATTTCTGTTTGCATAATTCAGGAGGCTAACAAGATCCCTTCAAATAGTATTAGTGTAACTGTGGCAGAGCAGTAAGAACTTTTTCTGAATCCGAGTCTGAGAGGATTTTTGAGGCTGATAAAATATTGAATTTTAAAGCTTGAAATGTGTATGTTTAACTACATATTGAAAAGTAACAGTGCAGTCTTCTGTCTCATTTACATTTAGAGATGTGGATCCCACTTTTTGACTCAGTGAGATATTTTAGATATGCAGCTCTTGTGAACATTTAAACATACGGTTTGGTCAATTGCTGCGCTGGGGAAAATTACAAAAGTAATTTTGGCGTTGGCCAAAATTGCAGACTTTTCTTTTCTCCAATGGAAAACACATTCCTTGATAAAGGTCCAAGATTAGAGGCAGGCTAAGCAATGCTTTTGTGGTAAGTTCAGGCTTTCCAGCGGTCACCAGAGGAAGAGGTAGGATTAAGGGTCAAACTGACATGGTTCAAGTATAAAACAAAGCCGTTTTTCTTTCTCAGCACACACACTTCCAATTTCACTTACATTTGTTGTAAAGACAGAGTGGATAAAATATGTAAAACCCCCAAAAAAGATTATGTTTGGCTGTAGGAAACTATCATGATTACAGAAAGACAGCCAAAGTGTACATATTCACCCCATATGTATAAGGGATTGGCTTACACTGTTCCCATTTTAGGCACATAAAGTAACTAATTTGCTAAATGTAAAGTACTTTTAAATCTTTAATTCAGCAAAACTATATTAATTTAGTAATTCAATGCATGAGATCCAGGTTAACTTTGTGGAATACCATTTTAGGGTCCTGAACTAGGTTCACACCTGCATGATCTGCTCCAAAAACTT